AAACATTAACAAATCAGCAATATATTGTGTTCTTCTACTGTAATTGGGTAAATCCACAAACACTGTGATGCACGGGTTTTCAAAGTGACAGTTGTTTGGCAAGTTCTGAAGTCATAAGGAGCACATTTTTCCTGGAATTTCTTATTGGATTTATGATTTATTTCAGATGGTCAATTAAAATAATAATGCCCTCCAACTAGGTAGCCTAACTGGGAATCCACATTTAGATTAGATTCAACTTTATTGTCATTACCCATTGTCATTACAAGGCAGCAAAATACAGTTTAGCATCTAACCAGAAGTGCAATAACAGCAGTGAAAAGTGTGCAGTATCTACAATATGAACAGTCAAAACTAATTTACCAATAGATATGTACAATTGATATTTACAGTAAGATATATAGGGTAATGTATCATGTCCAACAGACTATGGATTCAAATTACAGTAATGGACAAGGTACATTAAGCTTATGGACCACTAGTGCAATGGGATGAGATGGGATGAAACAGTGCAGAATAAGATGATAATAAGTTACATGAGTGAACAGTTCAATGTAAAGTTCGATGTAAATAGTGCAAAGATAAAGATAAATATATACAGTATCTGCATATGAACAGTGTGCAAATGAATACAGAGCAGTATCCTGTGAGTAGAGTATGTGCAAATTAACTGATCACTTCAGTCTTACAGGTAACAGAAATGTAGTGCATGAGTCCCAGGAGGAGAGATGAGAAGGGTGGAGCTGTGTGTAGTGGTATAGAGGAAGACAGTGGGGGTCAACGGGGGACAGAGTTCAGTAAGGAGATAGCTGTGGGGAAGAAGCTGTTCCTGAGTCTACTGGTTTTGGTCCAGAGGCTCCTGAAGCACCTCCCAGAGGGTAGGAGGTCAACAGTTTGATAGCAGGGTGAGAGGAGTCCTTAAGAATTCCACGATCACGTCGGAGACAGCATTTCCTGTGGACACCCTCAGTGGCTGGAAGTGGAGTCCCTGTGATGCGCTGGGCAGTTTTCACCACCCACTGCAGCGCCTTTCAGTCAGAGACAGAACAGTTCCTATGCCAGACTGTGATACAGCTGGTCAGGATGCTCTCGATGGCACAGTGGTAGAAGTTCACCAAGATGGCTGAAGATATGCGGTCTGTGTGGTTCTTTTCTCCCTCCTGTGATACAGCTGGTCAGGATGCTCTCGATGGCACAGTGGTAGAAGTTCACCAAGATGGCTGAAGACATGCGGTCATGTGTGGTTCTTTTCTCCCTCCTGTAGTCCACAATGAGCTCCTTTGTCTTGTTGGTGTTAAAGAGCAGGTTGTTGTCAGCGCACCATGCAGCCAGGTACTGTACCTCCTCCCTGAAGGCTGTCTCATCATTGTCACTGATGAGGCCGATCACCATGGTGTCATCTGCAAACTTGATGGTGGTGTTGGAGCCATTTGCAGGCCTGCAGTCGTGGGTGAAAAGGGAGTAGGAGAATGGGCTCAGCACACAGCCCTGTGGTGCGCCAGTGTTGAGGATAACGGTGGAGGAGCAGGTGTTGTCTGACCTAACATGCTGAGGCCTGTTGGTCAGAAAGTCCAGAATCCAGTTGCAGAGGGAGGTGCTGATGCCCAGGTTGCCAAGTTTGGTGGGGATGACTGTGTTAAATGCTGAGCTGAAGTCCATGAACAGCATTCTTGCATAATTGTTGTTGTTGTCCAGGTGACTGAGTGCAGTGCTATGGAGACTGCATCCTCTGCGCTCCCATTACTGCGGTAGGCAAATTGGTGGGGGTCCAGTGTGGGTGGGAGACAGGTCATCAGGTGTGCCAGGACCAGGCGCTCGAAGCACTTCATGACAATGGGTGTGGGTGCTACAGGGCAGTAGTCTTTCAGGCACGTCAGGGTGGAATGTTTCGGCACTGGCACAATGGAAGTGGTTTTGAAGCATGTTGACACAACTGTCCGTAAAGACACCAGCAAGCTGTCCTGCACATGCCCTGAGCCACCA